TCCGGAGGTATTATAGAATAAAACATTGAAGCGGTGTGCAATAAATAAAATCATCTTACTTTATCAGACGTTCCCCAAAGATGTTCCTGCAAATGACTCTCTTGCTCACCGGCCTTTTTTCATGACAGCCATGGTCACTGCATCTGTGTGTGTGTGTGTGTGGGTGTGTTACATGATACCCTCCGCATTCCTGAGTCAGTGGGTATAAATTTGCTGGCTGTTCTACAGAGAGCCATAAGCGGGGAAAACATGAGCTACGTGAGTATGGACGGTTTATCCTCCCCTAAAACCCCCGACACGGAGCTGAGCCGCGTGATGATGGAAAGTCTGACTATGGCACCGAAAAAGCCCGCGGGTCACATGCGTTTGACAAACTTTCTCCACGAAAATACGGAATGGACTAAAGCTGAATACACGATGTGTAGTAACCGCGTATTCGGGTACAAATTTCACAAACCCTCGCGTTTTGTGATGCTCTACACCACCGATGGTGTGGATGAGTTCCAGCCTGGGGAAGACGCCTGCGTTGTATTTCCTGAAAAAGACTGGTCTCTATTTTACAAATTTGTCTGGAAGGATCTGCACGACGTCGGCGAAGAGCCTTTGTACACCGCCGAATGGGACGGGGTGACTCCGAACGTCCGGTACCGTGTGGTTGGCGACCATACTAAAAAGAAGTCGGATGATTCCGTCTACATATTCTGCTGTAAAGACAAGACAAAGCTCAACAGCACGAGGTCAGGAGTCATCGATCCTAGCGAGCATCACGATCTGTATGAATTGCAATTTTTGCAGCGATCTGGATCTGCTGAGTAGTGTTTTTTCAGCCATTAACAAATTGTTCAAATGGTGTGACATGCACGACGGATACAACAAAATCAAAGTGCAGCTGTTCAACCCTGAGAGATGCGCACGGAGCAGTTCATTTACTAGACCGTCCACGCCCATTCACTACAGTCATCGTAAAGCTCAGCTTTCAGACCCTCCCAAGCGTCTTTACAAACCGTGGTTGAAATGCTAGAACGACTCCGCCCCTCCTCTACATCCCACATAAATTCCGGCGACCGGACCCACCCGAGCAACATATATAAACCATGGCAGAAGACAACGCTACAGACCCCAGTCATGTGTGCAGCTGCGGAATCTCTTTCGGCAGCATTCTCGACGACAACGCTCTCGACCATATTCTGACTAACGGCGACGGCTCACCATCGGACCCACACAAGGACTGGAGCTATAATTTGGGTGCAGACTACGGACCTTACATGCCCACCATACCGTCTGATGCGGATGCTAAACCCAGTTTCGACACTACAGACGGCTGTTTCAGCGACGCTGGATTCAAAATCGTAAAAGCAGCTATCGTGATACTGCTGGAACATCTCATCGGTGACAAGATCAAGAAAGAATGTGAGGGCTGTGCGATCGACCATCCAAGTCAGCTGCAACATTCATGCCTGTTTGAGCCCCCTAACTACTTCTTCGACACACACTTTGATGAACTGACAGGCAAACTGTTTAAACCGCATTTTCACTCCATCATCGCCATCATCCTCAACCGCTGCGGGTTAAAATCGCGACCCCACCGAATTCAAGGAACAGTCGGAGCTATTCTGCGCGAATTAAAAGACGAGCCATTCATCGTAGCTAAGCTGGAAGAAATCAGGGGGAGACTTTTGGACAAACCCTGTAGGGAAATAGTCCACGACGTCGTTGATCTCTGGGAATTACTCTCAATCGTCAATGGCCAGTGATCAAACCTCCTCCGACATGGGTGTTGCGGGCAGTCTGGCGCACTTTCTCATTTCCATGTTTAAAGATCATTACAAAGACCAGATCATCGAGCTTATGAACAAGATTATTGAGGACGCGCCCGATTCCCCGTTTGAAATTCCACATGATGACGACACTACACGTGAGGCCAATCTCAAGAAAAACATGATACATGTAAGAAGCCTTAGTCCTAACAATACCTGGTACTGTATGATCTCCGCATGTCTTCACCACTACAACCTGCCTGTCTGTGATATGATAAAACATGTTCTCGATTGGATGTACGGTTCACCGTCTGACATCGGTGTCACCGATACGTTGTGCATGGTCACGTTTGTAACCGATGTATGTATTGATTTGGTGAAAAAGTCAAATCGATTAGACAGTGACGATGAGGAGGAGATGGTCGAACGTCGTCAGTTGATTAACAACGTCGACCAAATTATTGAACTGTTCACCGATTATGTCGCAGACAAAAACATGTTTGTGTTCCGTGACTTTTTATTCTGGCTAGATTCCAATTGTAATTAGACCGTTGTATTATATCCATTTTACTTTGATCATCCATACATGGTATTATAACCTTTTTTACTTAGATCTATTATAATCATTTACGTAGCCTGTGTACACCTGTTATTATAACCATTTTGTCTGTTCTATTATTTCCATTTTTACTTTGCTTATGTCATTATAACCATTTTTTACTTAATGTCTTCTATTATAATCAGTTTTTACCTACTGTTTTTTATCCTGTGACGTCATTATTTTTTAATAAAAGATTGATTGAAATCACCCTCACCTCTCATTCTTTCACAGTAGCTGAATCATCATCATCATCATCATGTCTGACCTCATGAAAAAGGCTTATTATACACCGTCCAACCCCGGTTCTTTAGGGGGTAAAAAACGATTAAAAGATGCCGTCTTAAAAGATAGCGGAGTCCGTCTAACCGATAAACAGGTTTCAGAATGGCTGGCTGGTGAGGATGCTTACACATTACACAAAACAGCACCGATAAATTACAAACGAAATAGGGTGATCGTATACGGGGTCGATACTCAATTTCAGGCCGACTTAGTCGACATGTCCGCTTATGCCCAGGATAATCACGGTCATAAATATCTGCTGACCTGCATAGACGTTTTCAGCAAACACGCATGGACGAGGGTGTTGAAGAATAAGAGTGGGTTTGAGGTTACTAAAGCGTTCGAGTCTATACTCGAAGAGGGCCGTGTCCCACAGAAATTGCAGACGGATCAGGGAAAGGAATTTTTTAACAAACATTTTCAAAATTTAATGAAAAAGCACGACATTAATCATTTCGCCACCGCTACCGATTTGAAAGCCAGCGTGGTGGAGCGATTTAATAGAACGTTAAAAAGTCGCATGTGGAGATTTTTAACAGCTACCAATTCACGACGATACATAGATGTTTTACAGGACATTATGCAGGGGTACAATACCAGTTATCATCGCAGTATCAGAATGAGACCCGTGGACGTCAGCAGAGTCAATGAGGGTCAAGTGTTTCAAAACTTGTACGGGGATGTAAAGAAGACTGAGAAACCCGTATTAAAGTTCAAAGTCGGCGATGTCGTCAGGATTTCTAAAGTGAGAGGTCCGTTCGCGAAAGGTTACGAGCAGAACTACACGGAAGAGTTTTTCACCGTATCCTCTTGTATTCCACGCCAACCCCCGGTCTACAGACTGAGCGATTATGACGGCGAAGTCCTCGAAGGGGTTTTTTACGAAAAAGAGCTGCAAAAAATAATTGTGAGTAAAAACAAATCTTTTAAGGTGGAAAAGATTCTAGGTCAGAAAAAACAAGGTAAATCTACGCTCGTTTTAGTGAAATGGTTAGGGTGGCCTTCAAAATTTAACAGCTATGTAAATAAAAAAACTGTGGTGGACTTGCAATCTCCTTAAAAACACGTCGACCATAACGGATGAGATCATACGAGTCGACCCCCGTCATGGAGGAGTACGGTTTCTACGTCACGCTACCGTGCAACGCATCGTCATGGGTTTACCCCCAAAATCGAATATCCAGCTATACAACCAGACTACCAAAAGCTATAAACTTGAAAGGACCCTGGCAAGTCGGACTAGCTGAAATCGAATATCCTAGAAGCTGGTATAGCTTTAGCGACAAAGAAGGATATTTTACCCTAAACATTGAGCCGGATGGCGATACGATTAAAAAAAACAAAGCGATACAATTTAACATAGCCGGAGGGTACTACCCAAATATTCGAGCCATCATTCGTGTTATAAACCAACTTATCGTAAATCACGGGGTTTTGACTCACGATGAAATAAAAAACAAAGTGTTTCTAGCAGCAAAACCCAACGTTTCACTCTACTTTCGAGGGAGACTAGGTATTATTTTAGGAGCAGCGAGGGGCGGGTATCTCGGACAATCGAGCTACAATAAAGAAGCAGATTTGACAAAAACCGTTATGATGCACGCTCCTCATCAATGCGACATCAACGCGGGGTTCTACACATTCTACGTCTACACGGACATTATCCAATATCAAGTGGTCGGCGATTCTCACGTACCCCTTCTGAGATGCGTACATATATCGGGTAAAACCAATGACACAGTCATTGCTAGATACGACAAGCCGCATTACGCATCGATCGCCAAGGATCACATCACCGACATCACCATAGAGGTTAAGGACGATCAAAACAAGCCAGTACCCTTCACGTACGGGAAAGTCGTCGTAAAACTGCACTTTAAACCCAAAAATGAATTATCATTATAATCCTAGAGAGAGTCCGGACTATGTCGCCTACTACCAAAACCAAGCCGGTGGAGCTTTACCCGGTTATGCCGGGGGAGGGGTTATGTATGGTAACGGTTTAGGTGGTATTTTTAGAGGTCTGTTCAGGATGGCCGTACCTCTGTTAAAAAGAGGTTTCAGCATTGCAAAGCCCCACCTAAAATCGGCAGCTAAAAATATAGCGGCCGACGTCTTCTCAAACGTATTGATGCGATCACACGGCAATGATGCTAAAGCTCAAGGTGGATCCGGTCTGATGGTCATGGCCCGTAAGAGAACGTCCAAACCTCCCGGTGTGAGAAGGCGTGGTCATTCGGTGGTGAAAAGGAAGAAAGCAGTGCGTGTATCAAACAAGCGCTCACTCGTACGTAGAAAGCGTAAGAAGACTGTTAGGCGAAACACATCGGTCAAGAGAGGGATAAATACCATATTCTAACATGGCGTTATTGCACCGTATGTCTGGTGAGTGTATCAAGTCCGAGTTGGACTTATTTACGGTACCTCTGACACAGACCATCATCGAGAAAAACAGCTATTTAGAAGTAGCTCCGTTATCGGCCCTTTCAGCCTCTGCCCCGATAGAGTTTTTTATCGCGGGTAACGGGGATGATTATGTGGATCTCAACAACACCATGCTCTATCTACGGGTGAAAATCACGCAACCTGATGGGGACGAAATAGCTCATCCGGCCAAGGTCGGACTCGTCAACTACCCGGGCGCGACAATATTTTCACAAGTCGACATAACCCTGGGTGATCGCCTGATATCTCAAAGCTCAAGCACCTATCCTTATCGCTGCATTATAGAGAGTCTGCTCAACTACGGTAAGGATACGTTGGATTCTCTGTTCTCCACAGCACTATTTCACAGAGATTCCCCGGGTCATATGGATGTTCACGAGCCGTCGGGTAATAATGCGGGACTGACTAAGAGGGCGACCTATACCAGTCGGAGCAGGGAGGTGGAACTGTTTACTCCCATACACGCCGATATATTCTTCCAGGAGAAACTTTTACTGAATGGCCTGGATGTTAAGTTGCGATTCATTCGAGCAAAAGACGAATTCTGTCTGATGAGGTCCGACGATGTGGCTTACAAATTAAATATAACGGCGGCGTCCCTATTTGTCAAGAAAGTGTCTGTATCACCCCCGGTGAGACTGGCTCACGCTCAGGCGTTACTGTCAACAACGGCAAAGTACGCCGTCGACAGGGTCTGTCTAAAAACGTTCTCAATCCCTACCGGGTCTCGTGTTTTGAATCAAGAAAATCTGTTTTTAGGAACATTGCCAAAGTCTATCATCATTGGCATGGTCGATAACGATGCTTTCACCGGATCCTACACAAAAAATCCATTTGCGTTCAAACATTACGATCTGGAGTTCTTAGCCGTCTACGTCGACTCTCAGCAATTCCCCACCAAACCTCTACAACCTAATTTCGGAGCCGGTCTGGCGGCGCGTGAATTTGATCAGTTATCGATGGCGACCGGTAGGCATCTTAAAGACCGAGCGCTCTGTATCAACAGTAATGATTTCATGAACGGATACACACTATACGCGTTCAACCTCACCCCGGATGAAGAGTGTCGGCAACACATTTCGCTCGTCAAGTCCGGGAATATCAGAGTCGAAGCTCGTTTCAGACAACCGCTACCGAATACCGTTACCTTAATCATTTACGCCGTTTTTGATTCTCTCATTGAAGTGTCTAACCGCAGACAGGTGCTGATCGACTACTATTGAGATGAACACACTACAACTCACAGCTATCGTGGATAAAATGACGTGCAGAACACATTTTCTCGGGGTTCTACCGTGCGATCAACTGCCGAAAAAACCCGTGAGGACCTTACCGACGATGACTATCATTAACACCGACCCGGCTCGGCTACCGGGGGAACATTGGATCGCCGTTTATTTACCCCAAGAGGGCCCCGCTTGTTTTTTCGACAGCTTTGGCAATCCACCCAACAGCCCCCGCTTTCCAACCAGCATCGATCACTTTCTAGCGACCAACCACCCCCAAGTATTATATTCTGACAGACAAGTCCAGGATTATTCATCCAATACCTGCGGGGAGCACTGTTTGTTTTTTCTATATCATTTAGCTAAAGGTTGTGACTACGAGCATGTGATGAAACTATACACCGATGATTATATTAAAAATGATAAAATGGTATCCCTGTTTGTGAAGAGGTTAAGACCGCATGTGTGTAATGATAAAATGTCATCCTGTGTGCAAACGTGTTTGATATATAAATAAAAAATCTTAAAAACATTTATATTTTAGCGTCTTTATTTAATCATAAGTTACATTCGTTAAAATTCCAGCCATTGCGTCGGATCCCCGGTCGATATTTTAAACACAGAGTCTTTCGGAGTCCTGTAACGTGAATATTTTCGGGCCTTTTTATAAGGCCTAACATCGGGTGTGGTGGTCGGGGTGTCGGGGTTACTCTTTAGAGATTTAATCACGCTCCTGACCTGCTGATTCGGTACGGTGGAGAAGGGGATGTTTAAATCGGCGAAGGCATGTAGAAACTCCGACCATCCTAGAGGTCTCCGGTCATCTCGGACCTTTTGCGGGGCCGTCACATTTTTTAGCAAATCAACCATGTGCGAACCCGGTACGACTTTACCCTTGAACACAAACTCGCCCGATTCATTCCAGCCACTTAGTCCTTTAGCTTTAGACATCTTGTCTAATATGTACCTACTGTTTTTTACGCTTCTCGAAGGGACATTCTTCAGCACTTCGTCCACCACACCGCCCTTAGCAACCCCGTCTTCAACATTAGCAGTGGCAGGCGCTTGCGCATCTTTATAACCGACTTCCGTATCGGGTAACGATAGGGTTAAAACCCCGGTCTCGCGATCGCCTTGTCTAACGATGGTCAAAAACCTGCTTAGCGTATTGGTGTAAAGTTTGGCTTTTTCGTACGGATTCAGATCGGTGCGATGTAAAATATTTCTTATGGCACCGTCCAAATCGTTTTCCGCAGTCTGTTGAATGTTCTCGCGCACATTTTCACCTTTCATCTTATCCAGCTGATGCTTTGGGACTAAATACATCTTCTCGGCGTACTCCATCCTATCGATTGGCTATCAAACTCGTCAGGAACGGTACAGCGATATTTAGTAAAGGCAGCAGGAACCTGCTGTCCGCCCGGCAAGTGGTTTATATCCCGAAAAAAAGTGCTGTGGAGAACAGAGAATCCAACGTATCCTTACCGTAGTTGAGCAGACTCTCTATAATGCAGCGATAAGGATAGGTGCTTGAGCTTTGAGATATCAGGCGATCACCCAGGGTTATGTCGACTTGTGAAAATATTGTCGCGCCCGGGTAGTTGACGAGTCCGACCTTGGCCGGATGAGCTATTTCGTCCCCATCAGGTTGCGTGATTTTCACCCGTAGATAGAGCATGGTGTTGTTGAGATCCACATAATCATCCCCGTTACCCGCGATAAAAAACTCTATCGGGGCAGAGGCTGAAAGGGCCGATAACGGAGCTACTTCTAAATAGCTGTTTTTCTCGATGATGGTCTGTGTCAGAGGTACCGTAAATAAGTCCAACTCGGACTTGATACACTCACCAGACATACGGTGCAATAACGCCATGTTAGAATATGGTATTTATCCCTCTCTTGACCGATGTGTTTCGCCTAACAGTCTTCTTACGCTTTCTACGTACGAGTGAGCGCTTGTTTGATACACGCACTGCTTTCTTCCTTTTCACCACCGAATGACCACGCCTTCTCACACCGGGAGGTTTGGACGTTCTCTTACGGGCCATGACCATCAGACCGGATCCACCTTGAGCTTTAGCATCATTGCCGTGTGATCGCATCAATACGTTTGAGAAGACGTCGGCCGCTATATTTTTAGCTGCCGATTTTAGGTGGGGCTTTGCAATGCTGAAACCTCTTTTTAACAGAGGTACGGCCATCCTGAACAGACCTCTAAAAATACCACCTAAACCGTTACCATACATAACCCCTCCCCCGGCATAACCGGGTAAAGCTCCACCGGCTTGGTTTTGGTAGTAGGCGACATAGTCCGGACTCTCTCTAGGATTATAATGATAATTCATTTTTGGGTTTAAAGTGCAGTTTTACGACGACTTTCCCGTACGTGAAGGGTACTGGCTTGTTTTGATCGTCCTTAACCTCTATGGTGATGTCGGTGATGTGATCCTTGGCGATCGATGCGTAATGCGGCTTGTCGTATCTAGCAATGACTGTGTCATTGGTTTTACCCGATATATGTACGCATCTCAGAAGGGGTACGTGAGAATCGCCGACCACTTGATATTGGATAATGTCCGTGTAGACGTAGAATGTGTAGAACCCCGCGTTGATGTCGCATTGATGAGGAGCGTGCATCATAACGGTTTTTGTCAAATCTGCTTCTTTATTGTAGCTCGATTGTCCGAGATACCCGCCCCTCGCTGCTCCTAAAATAATACCTAGTCTCCCTCGAAAGTAGAGTGAAACGTTGGGTTTTGCTGCTAGAAACACTTTGTTTTTTATTTCATCGTGAGTCAAAACCCCGTGATTTACGATAAGTTGGTTTATAACACGAATGATGGCTCGAATATTTGGGTAGTACCCTCCGGCTATGTTAAATTGTATCGCTTTGTTTTTTTTAATCGTATCGCCATCCGGCTCAATGTTTAGGGTAAAATATCCTTCTTTGTCGCTAAAGCTATACCAGCTTCTAGGATATTCGATTTCAGCTAGTCCGACTTGCCAGGGTCCTTTCAAGTTTATAGCTTTTGGTAGTCTGGTTGTATAGCTGGATATTCGATTTTGGGGGTAAACCCATGACGATGCGTTGCACGGTAGCGTGACGTAGAAACCGTACTCCTCCATGACGGGGGTCGACTCGTATGATCTCATCCGTTATGGTCGACGTGTTTTTAAGGAGATTGCAAGTCCACCACAGTTTTTTTATTTACATAGCTGTTAAATTTTGAAGGCCACCCTAACCATTTCACTAAAACGAGCGTAGATTTACCTTGTTTTTTCTGACCTAGAATCTTTTCCACCTTAAAAGATTTGTTTTTACTCACAATTATTTTTTGCAGCTCTTTTTCGTAAAAAACCCCTTCGAGGACTTCGCCGTCATAATCGCTCAGTCTGTAGACCGGGGGTTGGCGTGGAATACAAGAGGATACGGTGAAAAACTCTTCCGTGTAGTTCTGCTCGTAACCTTTCGCGAACGGACCTCTCACTTTAGAAATCCTGACGACATCGCCGACTTTGAACTTTAATACGGGTTTCTCAGTCTTCTTTACATCCCCGTACAAGTTTTGAAACACTTGACCCTCATTGACTCTGCTGACGTCCACGGGTCTCATTCTGATACTGCGATGATAACTGGTATTGTACCCCTGCATAATGTCCTGTAAAACATCTATGTATCGTCGTGAATTGGTAGCTGTTAAAAATCTCCACATGCGACTTTTTAACGTTCTATTAAATCGCTCCACCACGCTGGCTTTCAAATCGGTAGCGGTGGCGAAATGATTAATGTCGTGCTTTTTCATTAAATTTTGAAAATGTTTGTTAAAAAATTCCTTTCCCTGATCCGTCTGCAATTTCTGTGGGACACGGCCCTCTTCGAGTATAGACTCGAACGCTTTAGTAACCTCAAACCCACTCTTATTCTTCAACACCCTCGTCCATGCGTGTTTGCTGAAAACGTCTATGCAGGTCAGCAGATATTTATGACCGTGATTATCCTGGGCATAAGCGGACATGTCGACTAAGTCGGCCTGAAATTGAGTATCGACCCCGTATACGATCACCCTATTTCGTTTGTAATTTATCGGTGCTGTTTTGTGTAATGTGTAAGCATCCTCACCAGCCAGCCATTCTGAAACCTGTTTATCGGTTAGACGGACTCCGCTATCTTTTAAGACGGCATCTTTTAATCGTTTTTTACCCCCTAAAGAACCGGGGTTGGACGGTGTATAATAAGCCTTTTTCATGAGGTCAGACATGATGATGATGATGATGATTCAGCTACTGTGAAAGAATGAGAGGTGAGGGTGATTTCAATCAATCTTTTATTAAAAAATAATGACGTCACAGGATAAAAAACAGTAGGTAAAAACTGATTATAATAGAAGACATTAAGTAAAAAATGGTTATAATGACATAAGCAAAGTAAAAATGGAAATAATAGAACAGACAAAATGGTTATAATAACAGGTGTACACAGGCTACGTAAATGATTATAATAGATCTAAGTAAAAAAGGTTATAATACCATGTATGGATGATCAAAGTAAAATGGATATAATACAACGGTCTAATTACAATTGGAATCTAGCCAGAATAAAAAGTCACGCAACACAAACATGTTTTTGTCTGCGACATAATCGGTGAACAGTTCAATAATTTGGTCGACGTTGTTAATCAACTGACGACGTTCGACCATCTCCTCCTCATCGTCACTGTCTAATCGATTTGACTTTTTCACCAAATCAATACATACATCGGTTACAAACGTGACCATGCACAACGTATCGGTGACACCGATGTCAGACGGTGAACCGTACATCCAATCGAGAACATGTTTTATCATATCACAGACAGGCAGGTTGTAGTGGTGAAGACATGCGGAGATCATACAGTACCAGGTATTGTTAGGACTAAGGCTTCTTACATGTATCATGTTTTTCTTGAGATTGGCCTCACGTGTAGTGTCGTCATCATGTGGAATTTCAAACGGGGAAT